TCATAGGCAATACAGTCTAATTAAAATATTGATAGTTTCCCCCAACACTACATTTATTGAAGATATGGACACTGTGAATGAGGAAGAGGATCATGCAGAGTGAGAAGATGAAATCTTAGATTGGGCATATGAGGTTGCAAATGGTAATATTGACCTACCAGTGGTTAATGATGATGTGGCAAATGATAATACTGAGATGTAGCATGATGTGGCAAATGGAATTAGTGAGATTGAAACTGATGTGGCCAATGACAATACTGAGATGGAACATAATGTGGCAAATAGAAGTAGTGACATTGAGACCGACGTGGTAGATGGCAGTAATGACTTGGATACTGATGGTGATGATGATGTTAATCTTGATATGGCAAATGCTGAGGCTCATGATGATGGTAATCATGAGGTGCAGTTTGAGGTACAGGCAGCAGCCTTTAGGAAAGCACTAAGGGCTCATGCTGTAAGTGAGAAGTATGACTTCAGATTTGTAAGGAATGAGAAAGATAGAGTCACTGTTAAATGTGCTGTTGAGTGTGGCTGGAGAATTCATGCATCCATTAATTTTGAAGATGGCAGTTTTCAAATCAAGACATTCGGATATATTCATAACTACACTTATAACAAAATTAATAGGCAAGCATCATCAGGTTTCTTGGCAAACACATACATGGAGGCCTTAAGAGATGAACCAAAATGGAAGACTAGTGCAATGAAGAAAGCAGTATTAAGAGACTTGAATGTGATTGTTTCCAAGTACAAGGTGTATAGAAAGAGAAAGGCAACTGCACAAATTAATGGGGACCATGTGATGCAATTCAAAAGAGCTAGAGACTATTGCCACTTGATTCAAACCACTAACCCTAGTAGCATTGCAGTGACCACTGTCAACAGACCTACACTTGATGACCCTGCAAGATTTGAGGGGTTATTCATATGCTTTAAAGTAATGAAAACTGGCTTCTTGGGAGGGTGCAGGCCATTCATTGGAGTGGATGGTTGTTTCTTGAAGGTAAAATGATATTTTATGCATAAAAGTTCTCATTTATTATAGTGTAATTAAAATTTTAATATTTATGTTTCAAGTTGGTTTAACATATATTTATTTATTGATGGCTCCCTACAAAGGTTAATTATTAAGTGCAATTGGTAGGGATGGAGACAATGGCCTTTTCCCTATTGTCATTGTTGTGGTTAGAACTGAAACCAAAGAGTCTTGGAAATGGTTTATGGAACAGCTAAGAGGGCATTGGGTCCATTACAATGATTTACATTTATGTCCGATAGACAAAAGGTATAAATTTTAAATAATACAGATACTAAATATTAGTTAAAAATAATTTTATATTTCATTTAATGTTTGTTTAACACTTATTTATTTGAATGTTTGTTTCATAGGGTTTAGTAGAGGTATTTGAAGACACTTTGCATGGGATTGACCATAGATATTATGTGAAGTACATATATGATAATTTCAAGAAGAAGTTTAAGGGGGTAGAGTTGAGAAATGAGATGTGGGAAGCAGCTAGGGCACTGACTACTGATGAATTTGAATATCATATGTAGATCATAAAGAAGATTGATAAGGATGCGTATGAATGGCTTGCAAAGGTGCCTACTAGGTTATGGTCGAGGTCAAAATTCAATGATAATTCCAAATGTAACTTGCTTGTTAACAACATTTGTGAAACATGGAATGATAACATTGGTGACGCTAGGGATAAGCCTTTAATTACAATGTTGGAGTGGATTCGTGGTTATGTGATGCATCGTTTCCAATAAAAAAAAGAGAGTGGATTCAGACGAAGAGTGGCTTGTTGTGCCCTAGTATAACAGAAATTTTGGAGAAGATGATGGATGACTCAAGACATTGTAGTACAAAAAAATCAGGTGCTTATATATTTGAGGTTCACTACAAAGGGATGAATGAGTGTGTGGATTTGGAAAATAGAACTAGTAGTTGTAGGGAATAGGATGTAAGTGGGAAACCATGCAATCATGCAATTGCATGTATTATTTTAGAAAGGGGGCAGCCTGAGCTATTTGTTGACAACTGCTATCATAGGGAGACCTATTTAAGGTCATATAACCCTATCTTATTTCCTATGCCCCTTAGACACTTACAACGTGAAGTTGGCACTGATCCCATACACCCACCCATTGTTAAGCCTATAACTGGCAGGCCTAAAAAAGCAAGGACGAAGGCAGTTGATGAGGTTAGTAATATAATGTACTTAGCAGAAAAGGGCTACATATTAGATGTACTAAGTGTGGGGAAACAAGGCACAACATTCGTACTTACAAAGGTAAATGAGGTAGACCTAGATTGCCTCTTACTTTTGGTATACCAGGTGTATTGCCAGACATTGATGGGACTGCAAATAGTACTACAGAAAGAGTTGAACTTGGGGCTGCTAGTGGAAGAAATGATGGAAGTGTTGCAAGAGGAAGAGGTGGCAGTGCTATAAGAGGAAGGGTTGTTGGCAGTGCTATAAGAGGAGATACTGCCAGTGCTGCTACAAGAGGAGATACTGCCAGTGCTGTTGCAAAAGGAGATGTTGTTGGAGCTAAACGAGGAAAAGTTGTTGGCAGTGATATAAGAGGAAAAGGAAGAGAAGGTGGAAGTAATGAAAGACAACTACAAGAGGTATGCACAATGCTAATGCTAATGCCCATGTATTTATTCTTAAATTATGAGTTATTTAAACAACATGCTAATGACATTGTATTTTTTTATCTACCATAGGTGATTTCCATACCATCAAGGTATGGAAATATGTTGAACAACTTATCTCAGTCTTCTTCTGTGGATTTGAATGTTTAATGGAGTAGTCAGGGTTCATCCTCAAGGTATAAAATATTATTGGCTAATGATTGTGAGGCCCCAATTATAAAATATAGTGTATTAGTCATAGTAGTTCTGAAATAGAGCATTTTAATTATGTTGTCACTTGAATAATAGTTTTTTAAAAAAATATTATTCTTTATTGCAGGCCCAATACAGTGGACCCATCATTTTAGACAACAACAGATTGCAACATATTTTATTTTTTGGTGTAAGAAAAGGAACAGAAAGAGGTAAACTGCATTTAGACAACAACAGATTGCAGGAAACAGCTTTTGTTTTTTGGTATTTCCTATTTTTCGGGTTTTGTTGAAATGTTTAGACAATATCAACTATTTTTTGTCTTTAAATATCTCTTTACACATGTTTGGTGTAAGGACTTGTTGAACTTGGTTGTTGGTTGCTAAATATGGATATTATGTTGCTGTTGAAGGGTGATAATGTTATGGTCTAATGGCAGTTTATGTTTTGATGAAGTGACACTTGGTATATAACTGTGTCTGTTGTCAGGATCGCAGAGTTATAATGATTATGGTGTAATAATATTTTATGTTGCTATTAAAGGACTATAATGATTATGGTGTAATGGTAGTTTCTGTTTTTTATGATTATTTGGTTATAATGCTATGCTATTAGGTTTTTAGTGCATTATTTTTATGTTTTTACTTACAATCCAAGTTTGTTTTATGTATACATGCACAATCTTATGATAGGTAAGAAATAGGTACTTCCATTACATTAATTTACCATTACACTGGTTTAAATAACCACACAGTCAACATTACAACAACACATGAAAAAAAAAAAACATGAATACAACAATGTAACTTGTTCCACCATCATAGTCGTCATAGTTGCTACAAGTTGTGCGCCAACATAGTTGATACTGTCATTATTGTGCAAAGGTTCCAACTCAGCATTTCTCATAGCAACTCTAGCTCTCAAAGTTGAAATGGTCTGCATTGCCATCTCTCTCTCCATACGGTTCCAATGAAGTTCTCTTTGAACTTCATTATGTTGGGGATCAATCCATATCAAAAATCCACAACATCTCATAGGATAACTTCCATATCCATAAAATTTGCGCCCTAGATTTTCATGTGTTGTTGTTGTTCTCAAAGGCGATTTCAATCCGCAATAGCAATGCAAATTATTGTATCTACCATGATGTGATACATTAACAGAGTTTCTTGATGTCATTGAGGGCTCCATATTCCTACAACAACAATAGAGAAAGAAAAAAATAATAATAATAAAGATATATGATAATAGCATGCACATGTCATACACTATATAAAATACTATATGTCAATATATACATATATATATATATATATAGCAATACAAATATATATATATATATATATATATATATATATAGCAATACAAATAAATATACTGACCTAAGAGAACGAGGGTAGAGAGAGAGAGCAGAGAGAATAAATGGGGTTGAAATGGGTTTGGTAGGGGGAGGGGCCAAACATTTATAAACAACATTGAAGGGCGTAATGGTCATCATGGAGGGGGTAGTTTTGGCATTCTAATAAAGTAATTAATCACATGCATCACTTGCTCACCGGAAAGAGGAATCCGGCGTCTGCAGGGGGGCAATATGGTCCATTTCAAAACTACTATAATTGAGTTGCTCACTTTTTACTTCAAGGAAGGATTTTACTCCATTGAGTAAACATCACGGGATATTTTGCACTTTTGCCATTCTTTTTTGTTATCCTACTTCCTATGCCTATTATTCATAGTTGGTGTTCAAAACTGAATCCCTAGCTAACTTCCCTCTTTCTAAATTAATGAATTCTTAGTCACGTGCAATGCATATTTAAATAATAACTTAAATAAAATATATTTTTAATTAACTTTTCTCGTTTCCAAAAAGTTGTAACAATCATTGGGAAGTGGCCTTTATTTGGAACTTCTTATTTCTAAAGAGTTGCTTATATTTTTCTTTGGTTATGGACAATTATCGATCAAAAATAAATTAACTCTCAAGTTTAATTCAAGTCATACCTCTCATTAGGAGTCGTTTGGCTGTATATATATATATATATCTCTATTTGAAATACCAGTACAAACGGCGTCGTTTTGCCCTAGGCACTTTCATAAGTAACATGAGATCAGCTCCTGTGTCTTATAAGCTTGCCAAAACGAGCTCATCGTCATCACGACCCTAGAGAAGAAGGGGATCGTCTATGGTGGTCCAAGAGCATCGAAGAGATTAAGGATCGGGTGAGTTTCTCATAACAGTGTCTATAACCTTTCAACTCCAATGATTTATATTTACAGTAAAACACTAGGTCATTTTAGATGCTCTTCTCTTTTACGTTCAACAATACAAAAGTTGTATGCCCTTCAAACCCATCAACTGTCTTCGTCTCTCAAATCCATCTCTACTTCCACAAATCAACACTCATTTACAGTCAATTACCTCATCAATTCATGTGGGTTGAGTCCAAAAACTGCTATTTCAGCTTCCAAGAAAATCAATTTTAAAACCGTAGACAACCCAGATTGTGTTCTCAATTTTTTCAAGAACCACGGATTCAGCAAAACCCAGATCTCAGATATCATGAGGAAAAGCCCAAAACTTCTCTTATCGGATCCCAATAAAACCCTTTTGCCCAAATTCCAGTTCTTTTACTCTACTGGCCTTTGCAGAACTGAGCTCGCGAAGATGGTATCCAATCACCCATTTATATTGCACCGGAGCTTGGAGAACCATATCATCCCATCTTTAACTTTGTTCATAAATTTACTTCATCCAGATGATAAGTTTATCACGGCCGTTAAACGATTTCCTATGATTATAAAGGGCTATCGCAGTGCTACTACATTCTCCAACATTGAAATTTTGAGACAACATGGCGTGCCAGATTCGAACATTGTGTACCTAATTACTGCTCGTGGTAGTTTACTCAACTTAAACCCTGATAGATTAAATGAGGTAGTGGAGGATGTTAAGAAAATGGGTTTCAACCCTTCGAAATTACAGTTTGCTATAGCGGTTCAGGCATTGAAGTGGATGAGCAAAGCAACATTGAAAAGGAAGATGGAGGTTTATGAGAAGTGGGGTTGGTCTGAGGAAGAAACAATGTTGGCTTTTACAAAATATCCGTGGTGTATGACGACATCCGAGGAGAAGATAATGGCGGTGTTGAATTTTTTTGTCAACACGATGGGTTGGAATCCTTCCCAAATTGCCCATCATCCGGAATTACTGTCACTGAGCTTGGGTAAGAGGATAATTCCCAGGTGTTCGGTACTTCAAGTTCTGTTGTCGAAAGGTTTGATTAAGGAACCCGTTAGTCAACGGACATTGTTGAGGTCCAGAGAGAGTTTGTTCCTCAAGACGTTTGTAACCTGTTATGAGGAAGCTCCTCAGTTGTTGAAACTATATCAAGGAAAATTGGACCTAAGGTAAGAGTGGAACATATCAGTTTATACTTCCGAACTGAAGTGGCTTACACATCCACAGTTCTTTTACTTGCTCTCATTTCCACCCTCTGCTCTTACATCACCACCTTTTCAAATTAGGTCTTTATGAACACCTTTTTTTCTTAATTTGAATTTTATGATCTTAATTCAATTTCTTTGGCAAGTATTTATTTGATTTTGTTACAAAATACTTAGAGATTTTGTGCAGCACTAATACATCATTCATTAATCAAGCACACATTTAGCATGATGATTTATTAATTTTTGTGCAACTCTGACTAGCAATATCTTCTTAATCTTTCATTTGAAGCATAATACATTAACTAAATTCCAGTATGTTACTGGAAGATTGCTAATTTAATTCAGTTCTACTTCAATATAGCATTTTGTTCCAATTCCCTAAGCAAATGCTGTGGGATTTCATAATCTGCACACAGCTATTCTTCATGTTAATTGGCCTCTAGACATGGCTGGCCCATTGAGATCTCTCACATTCTTTTTGACATTAGAAATGGTCGAAAGTGTCTCACGCTTGTACATCACTCTCCCACTGTTGTTTGGATTCTGATGTAGTTCTTGATAATTTACCTGTGGATGTTGTTTATCTTGCTTCTTTGGACTGGTACAGTTCATTGTTAGTGTTCTACTGTTCTCTTTGTTTGCCAGGGTAAAAAAAAAAATTGGCCTCTAGACATGCATGACAATACAGTTCGATTTCACAGTGGTTTTCCTGTCATAGTACAAAATCCACGAGGATTGTACCTGATGGTACCACTGAATTTATTTTCATCTTCGTCTGTAAATGCAGAATTGAGGCAAAATGCTATTAGTGCTTCACCTTATTGTCATGTACGCGTCAAAATTCTATTAGTGCTTTACCTTATTGTCATGGACATGTCAAATTCTATTAGTACTTCACCTTATTGTCATGGATGCGTCAAAATTCTATTACTAAATCACCTTATTCTCATGGACGCGGCAAAATTCTATTAGTGCTTTACCTTATTGTCATGGACATGTCAAAATTCTATTAGTACTTCACCTTATTGTCATGGACGCATCAAAATTCTATCAGTACTTCACCTTATTGTCATGGACGCGTCAAAATGCTATTAGTGCTTCACCTTATTGTCATGGACGCGTCAAAATGCTATTGGTGCTTCACCTTATTGTCTCTGTGTTACCACCACAAACTTATAGTTTTGACTGTTATTCTCCTGTCATACAACAAAAACCATGAGTGTGAAAAACACCTCAATCAATCCTTTCGAGTGTTCAACCAACCCATTGTTTGTGTGTGTGTGTGTGAGAGAGAGAGAGAGAGGGAGAGGGAGAGGGAGACATCAAGCATCAAAAAGCTTGTGAACATGCATTATTAACGTGAACCTATGCAAAGCAACACTATACAAGTCCGATGGGCAAAACTTTTGCGTTTGCTTTTACATAGAAGAAAAACAAATGCATAAGCCGGCACTTCCATTTAGCTTATGGGTTGGTATTTAGAAACTATATTTTACAATAACTTTTAGTGCTAGAAGATTTTTTTTTTTTTTTTATTTTTTATTTTGCTCTTAGATGGGAGTGCTTGTGGATTGTTTGGCAACATAAAGTAATAAACAATTTTTAATACAACTATTCCCCAACCACCACATATGTGAATATCATATTAATTGTTTAACACAGTAATAAAATAAGTTCAAGCAGATCAAGGTACACAGATGATCAAACACCAAGAGTCAGATGAAATTTGACAGCCCAAAAATAAGTGATTGAGCATAAAGCTTAAAATACATTCATGGTATATAGCAAGAATACCATATATCAACATCATTCACCCATGTCCCAAGGAGGAAGCCCTAGTGCTGCATAGACAAACAAAACCTCATATTTTGATTCATATTTCCATATTTTTCAGCTCTCGTTTATTTTCGTTTGCACCATGTCACTTGTTTTTGGGAGTTTATTCCAGATTTGATAAGATGATTGGTTTTGGACATATTTCATCATTGTATGCTTTATGCCTTTCATTTTGGATAAAATTCCCATGCTTTTTTTTTTTTTTTTATAAATTTTCTATGTTCCCTTTTACGCCATCTACTTTGGTGGATGTGTGGTAGCATTGTCTTGACAGGTCTTCTCCTTCAAGTTGGGAGGGCTTTGGTGTCAACGTCGGCTATTGACTCTTTTGCCCTTGCCACTTTTGCCTTAGTAATATTGTTCTAACTTCTCCCTTATGGCTTTCCATTCATGTTCACGTCTTCTCACATTGAGGACAATGTTTTATTCAAGTTTGGGGTGTAGTTATTACCTTTGTTTGTTGATATTATTGGTATTCCATGTTAAAGAAAAAATGAAAAAAAAAAGAAAAAAGAAAAAAGAAAAGGGAACAATGAATTCATACTTGGAACTTGTTGAAGATTAGATCAATGGCTTAATACATGTATGTTTTGTAGTGCCATCTTTGGGTGATTAAATTTTTTGAGAACTACATTTTGACTCAAGTGGTCCACATTATAGCTTACATTGTCTCTTTTATAGTCGTCAATCTCTAGGGTACTACACATTTCACATGAGCACACCGGCACTTTACTTGTGAGGCATGCACCCCAACTTTCTTTGCATGATGTAATTGTCCGAAATGAGTTGATGAACCCAATGATTAGATCTCTTTGCCGTGAAAAATAAATAAATAATATTTTTAAAAAAAAAATAAATAACAACTTTTCACCAAGTAACCGGACCTCTTACCTCAGTAAGCAGTGATTGTTCGTGCCAAAAGTGAAGAGTTCTAAATAAAGAATCTTGCAAAAAGGCTTATTAGAGTTTGAAACCTGGTTAGCTCAAGTTATTAAGTCATTTGGGGTGTCTCTACTCCAAATGCCCTAAGACCAAGTCATATGAGGTGTCTCTACACCTAATGTCCTAAGACCAATTGGTTTGGGAGTCATTGACCAAATGTTTGTTACACGAGCTAACTAGAAAGCTTAATGGACTTAGATATTGCACTGTCTTTCAAAAAAAAAATTATTTGAATAAATTCGTGTCTTAGTCATTCGAAATTAAAAGAAACATTAATGAGTGGAAGGATTGTGCATTTGTGTGACCGGAAGGGAAGGTTAAGTCGCATAGTTGGGAGGGGGTTCACTTTTAAGGAAACTAGAGTTGATGACTATTTGGATATGATGTTTAAGTTGTGCGCGGGGACTATTAAGATGATTTGTGGAATTTAGAAGTTAAGAAGTGCGCTTGAATATCAATGTTTTACATACTTCATGTAGTTTTCATCTTGATTCCGTATTCAATGTTTCCGATGTTCCATGATAATGAATGAGCTTGGTGCATCTTCATGCACCATTTTTGCTAGTGTTTGTGGGTACCATTTCTGTTAAACCCTCACGAGACTTGTGCTCGTCCACTAGGGATGCCTAGGGGTTCAAAAGGCTTGTTACATACACTAAATGCAATCGTCATTCCCACGAAAGAGGACTTCTTCACTGTAATATCATTTTAATTTTGCCTTGTATTGATAAGGGACTAACAACGTGTATATTTGGGGGTTGTTATAAGCATCGAATGTTGCACATTCAATCCCCTTTAATCGCATTTGTTAAGTTCTTATTTTATCCATTGTGTAGATATTATGTGTTTTTCTTGTCTCTTGTGTTTTCCGGCGTTTCCTATAAAAGATAGCCATTTCAATGGAATGTAGAACTCTAATGATGAATTCGGGAAAGCAACCGGACATTCGGACCAAGTTCAGATGATGACTCAAGGGTATGCCAGGCCCCGAGCACACTATTGAGGAGAATACAACTCAAACGGGGACCGAAAGCCAAGCCGAGAAGCATCCAGGGCAAAAGGAGAAGGCAAGGCCCAAGGCAGCTATGAGCGCTCGGGCCAAGCCATCCGAGTGCTCAAAGGGCACCGCAGCCCTTTCCCCGCGCGCGCAAAGACCAGCATCCTGACAAGCTCCGAGCACTAGGAGGATGCCCTTCGAGCGGTAGCATGACAACCCCCGAACACCCTATTCCCAGTCGAGCGCTCCAAATTGCACTCCAGCGGCCAACTTCTAATACCGAGTGCTCGGACCCCTACCTACGAGCGCTCGGACCTGCTTCTGACTACCAGGTTTGTTGACTTTAAAAAGTCACTTTTAGCCTATGTTTTGGGGGAATCTTGTCTTCTTGTCTGCAGATGAAGGGACACGAATTGGGAGCCCATAATTCTGATATGAGGTAGCTACAATAGGGGAGAATATATTCTCTTAAATAAAAAAATCATGGACTATTCTAGATCTTGGTCTTAGATAGCTAGAGAGAGAAAGATTGGGAGTAGAAGACAAGGGCATAGATGGAGCTCGGGAAGAATAGGATTTTAGCTCCAATGGAGGCTTCCACCTTGCCTATGAGCAGCTAATTCTTCCCCTGGGGGGCTGATGTAGCCCATTCCAAGTAACTATGGCTTAATTTGTATCTATACTTTGGGGAAATTTCTGTTTTGTGTAACAAGTTATGTAGCTTTGAGGATTACATTTGTAGAACTCTTGTAATTAATCTTAATGTTAATATTCATTCTTGATGATGTATGTTTCTTGTCTTGGAATAAATTCTGTCTAGATTTGAACTTTAAACCATTCCTATAGTAACAATGAGAATGGAAGTTGCACAATGGTTTTTATGACATTCAGTGCTTGGGTTTTGATAGGCCATGCCTTGGAAAGATGGACCATTCTACATCTTAGAGTAACATAGTTAGGTAACCGGCCCGTGCCTACGAAAGATGGGTCATACTTGGCCTTAGATTGTGTGTGCAGTTATTTTCTTGATGATTTCGTTGTGAGCTTGTAGTCACACGAATCAAAGTTATGCAAAAGTTAATTTTCCCCTTGTTAGATATAAATGGCCATGGTAATGAGGTTTGTAGTGAAGTCAATTCCCTAGCTTCTATCTCTACTATGTCCTTTACTTGGAATTCAATTCTATGTTGAGCACTTAATCTCAGTTTCTTCAAGTTGAAAACAATCAAACAAACTCAACATTTCAAAATTAAAACCGGAAGTAATCTTGACTTGACGGCCATAAACTACGCAGTGCTTGTGGTTTGACACCCTCTATATATATCTATTCTACAATGATTCGTCCTATTGCGAGTGGTTACATAATTGAAAACATTTGGAACACATTAGGATGCATCGAATCGGATCTCGCACTTGGAGGTATATTAATTTATATATATATATATATATATATATATATATATATATGTTGAAGATTTGGGTGTTTGAAGGTAATGGTGTTTGGTGGTGAGTTTGTTAGGTTAGGTTTTAGAGGCCATAAGTTTGGTGGTGGTAGTGAACGGATGCTTATGGCGGTGGCGGTGGCGGTGGGCCGACAATTGTGTTGGTGGCGGTGGTATAATGAGGGTAATGAGATTAGAGAGAGGAGTGGTGAGGTGTAATGAGGGTATACTTAGGGCATTTTACGATTTAAATTGATAAAAAAATTAAAGGACAATTTTGACATTTTTTAAGGAACTATTTGGATCAAATTTCTGACAAGAGGGTCTCATTGTCAAAAAAAGACTCAACTTGTATATTAGTGTCCTTACAAAAAATCTGCCTTTAATTAAATCTGGAGATGTGATATATCTACTACATGAACAGATCAAAGATTAGGTCTAGTTCTGATACCAATTGAAATAGATGGGTGCTTCGCGATCCGACCCAAAATTCAAAACTATTTGGTGGGGTTAACACCCAACCCATTTATACCCAATCACTCTCCCATCCAAATTCTTTGTGGGATAAATTCTCCCTTATTACAAAGGCAAGAAAAACTACATAACCATGTCCACCAGATTCCCTCTTTTCAAATTGCTTGAAAAACCAAAAAGTAATTCGAAAGGAGATTCCAAGTGAAGGAAACGAAACATGCCGATTTACATGGTTAGGCCGGGGATTAGCAGTTTTTTCTTTTGGTCTGTATTCTATTTTGCTATCCTACTTCCAACACCTATTATTCATCGTTCGTATTCAAGACTGAATCCTTAGCTAACTTCCCTCTTTCTAAATTAATGAATTTTTAGTCACGTGTAATGCATATTTAAATCATAATTTAAATAAAAAAATGTTTTTAAACAACTTTTCTCGTTTCCAAAAAGTGGTAACAATCATTCGACCAAGTGACTTTTATTTGGAAAATCTTATTTCTAAAGAGTTGCTTTGGGTTTGTTTGGTTTACAAGTCTGAAACAGTTCTCCAGAATTCAGAGAACAAAAAACTGTTTTAGAGAACTACAAAAGACAGTTCTGTGAAAACAAGTATTTTTATAACTGAGTTTTCAAAAAATTGAATCAAGCAGAATTTTTTATACAAACCAAGCAGGCCTTATATTTTTCTTTGTTTCTTTTGGAGTTATGGCAATTATCGATTAAAAATAAAATAGCTCTCTAATTATACTAAATTAACTCTCTAATATAATTAAAGTCTCTATGCCACTTCTCATTTAGGAGTCGTTTGGTTGCATATCTATTTAGCCTATAAAAATGTATTCTATTTCTATTTTTTGTATACATTTTTTGATATTATTAATATGCTCGTTTTAAATATTATAAAAGTTTCGGTTTTTAAAAACGTATATGCAATTTTTGGTTATAAAAAATATTTATACAATTTTCTCATTACGTTGTCAATTTTATTTTAAAAATTATAAAAAAATAAAACAGTTATATGCTCAATTTAAATATTGTAGACGTTTCGGTTTTTAAAAACATATACGCAGTTTTTGGTTATAAAAAATATTTATACAATTTTTTTATTTTAAAAATTATAAAAAAAATAAAGCAGTTTCAATTTTTGTTCCTATTTTCCCAATATATCTGAACAATAAAAAGCAAATGGTGACGACTTCTTCTTTCACGTCTACTCTACCACAGTTGCCTTAAGAACATTATATGAAAGAAAAACTAAACTACTTAATGAGTTACATTAATCTTAACGACAAACAACCCTTTTAAAAGCCATCTTCTTAATGCAACCACTTCTCATACTTTAAGGGCCAGTTTGGTGTGGTGGAATGAATTGAAATGGAATGAAATGAGAATGGAGGTGGGAATGAAATGAGAAGAGAATGGAATGGTCATTCCTTTTATTGGAAGGTGGAATGATTTTGATAGAATGATCATTTTCCAAGAATAGTGGGGAATGATGATTCAAATTTTAAAATTAGCACCAAACACGAGAATGGAGAAAAACTATTTCATTCAATTTTCTTTTATTTCATTCCACCACACCAAACTAGCCCTAATAGTCTATTTCGTTAATCTAAATTAATTCTAATAAAATTATTTTCTATTTGTATACATTTTTATTAATTTAATATTAACATAAAAAGTAATTAAATAGATTTTTAAATTACATTACTGTTATTAATAAGTTTATTCCTAAATAACACATGGACACAAAGGTCATGTAAATAACATAACCTTTCACAAAAAAGACACGTCCAATAAAATAGTAAAATATCAGTTGTCTAACATTTTCAAAGCAAAGTAAGAGGTTTAAGCTTCAGTGAAGGCAGATGTGTCTGAGTATCAACAAAGAAAAATATTTTTAATACAATAATTGAGACTAAATGATCACCAGGTAAATAACAAGATTAATATAAATATCAACAAAGGAGTCATTAGAAAAAGTCGGTACAATTCAACAAAAAATGTTAAATACCAAATAAAAAATTATTTTTCTATAAAAGGAGTCATTGTGATTAAATATAATTTTAAGTTATTTTTATTAGTTAGTCAATGTTTCCCTCTTGAAAAATATTTTCTTCTTCATATTTTTTAGATACAATAATATATAAAATATTATTAAGGAACCCATTAGAACAAAGACATTGTTGGAGTCCACAGAGAGTTTATTCCTCAAGAAATTTGTGACCTGTTATGAGGAAGCTCCTCAGTTGTTGAAACTATATCAAGAAAAATTGAACCTAAGGTAAGAGTGGAACTGTTAGAAGATGTTATATTTGGAATATATTATTATAGAAATCCTTAAATTACACCTTGACAGAATATTTGATATGAGAATATCATAAGAGAGATTTTAGCATGGGATAGTATATTGATTGGAGTGATTTATGGTATTGATTTTAGGAATCTTCCATTAATGTATTTTCCATATTTATCACCTCTATTCTTTCACCTATAAATAGAATATATTATAAAGTGATGGAGCCATCTGACTCTCTGTGCTTCACAACATGGTATCAGAGCCTAATTTTCTTCCTAGGTTCGGACCCCTATTTTGGGGTATTCCCTTAGCATTTGAAATGCTGCTAAGGGTTTTTCGGTACTATTTGTGCCTTTTTTGGGCTGCCAGTTTGTTCGGCAGTAATGTTTTCGCCTTTGTCGTGTCTCCGACAATTTTTATTTACTTGTTTGGGCTGCCAGTGTGTTCGGTAGCATTGTTCATCACTTTTGTCATGTGTTCGGTGCTATGTGGACTTATTTGGGCTGCCGGTGTGTTCGGTAGCATTGTTCTTTGCATTCACCGTATCTCTAGCAGTTTTATTGTCTTTTTCCAAATCGTTAGAAAATTATCTGTTTCATGATATATGCAAGCTGAGTGTTATTTTTATACACCCTTCAGCTTGAGGAGAGTGTTAGAAGATGTTATATTTGGAATATATTATTATAGGAATCTAAATTACACCTTGACAGAATATTTGATATGAGAATATCATATGAGAGATTTTAGCCTATAATAGAATATTGATTGGAGTGATTTATGATATTGATTTTAGGAATCTTTCATTAATGTATTTTTCGTATTTATCACCTCTATTCTTTCACCTATAAATAGAGGTGATCATTGTATACAAAGATCAAGAGAGAATATATTATAAAGTGATACAGCCCTTTGGGCTCTTTGTGCTTTACAACAGGAACATATCAGTTTATACTTCCGAACTGAAGTGGCTTACACATCCTTCTTTTACTTCACCTTATTGTCATGTACGCGTCAAAATTCTACATATCAAAATTCTACTAGTGCTTCAGCTTATTGTCACGGACATGTCAAAATTCTATTAGTGCTTCACCTTATTGTCATGGACACGTCAAAATTCTATTAGTACTTCACCTTGTTGTCATGAACATGTCAAAATTCTATTAGTCTTTCACCTTATTTTCATGGACGCGTCAAAATTCTATTAGTGCTTCACCTTATTGTCATGGACATGTCAAAATTCTATCCATACTTCACCTTATTGTCATGGACGCGTCAAAATTCTATCAGCACTTCACCTTATTGTCATGGACGTGTCAAAATTCTATCAGTGATTCACCTAATTGTCGTGGACATGTCAAAATTCTATCAGTACTTCACCTTATTGTCATGGACGCGTCAAAATTCTATCAGTGCTTCACCTAATTGTCGTGGACGCGTCAAAATTCTATGAGTGCTTTACCTTATTGTCATGGACGCGTCAAAATTCTATCAGTACTTCACCTTATTGTCATGGACGCGTCAAAATGCTATTGGTGCTTCACCTTATTGTCTCTATGTTACCACCACAAACTTATAGTTTTGACTGATATTTTCCTGTCATACTGCGAAAACCATGAGTGTGAAAAACGCATC